GGGTTTGGGATTTCGGGTTTTGGGTTTAGGGGTTTAGGGTTTAGGGTGTATGTAGGGTTTGGGATTTCGGGTTTTGGGTTTCGGGTTGGGAGGTCTCGGATTGGCCCTCTGAGCTTCATGAGCGGTCGACCTAGCGAGATGAAGGCTTACAGTTTAGGTCCGCTTTCCGCTTCTCTTCAGCACACGGTTTAGGGTTGAGGGTTTAGGGAGAGCCGTTACTTTTCTCCAAAGGGTTCTGTTCGAAAGCAACACCCGCGGCCTTAAACCCGCAAAGATCGTGGTGCACGATGGTGACTTGGCGAATCTGTTGTGGCGTCGAATTGATGCCCCGTGCGGCCATTGTTCGAGATGTGGGTGTCCAGCATTCCACAAGAGTTGCCCAACACCTTTTTTACGATGATATGAATAACACCTTTCTTAAACCTGCTCCAAAACAACAAAACAACTGGACGCCTTACTAACCTTCGTAGAGCCCTACTAGTGGCCCTGAACCTCCAACACACGCAACCTGAACCCTAGACCCTAGGCCCTAAACCCTAAGCCCTAAGCCCTAAGCCCTAAACCCTAAGCCCTAAACCCTAGAAGCCCTAAACCCTAAAACCTCTAAACCCTAAAACCCCTAAACTCTAGACCCCTGAACCCTAAGCCCTAAGCCCTAAACCCTAAACCCTAAGCCCCGAAGCCCTAAACCCTGAACCCTAAGCCCTAAGCCCTAAACCCTAAACCCTAAGCCCTAAGCCCTAAACCAGCCCTAAGCCCTAAACCCCTAAACCCCTAAACCCTAAACCCCTAAACCCCTAAACCCTAATCCCCTAAACCCTAAGCCCTAAGCCCTAAACCGTAAACCCTGAGAGGTATGCCACGACCCCTTTGACGGCCGCGGTCTTCCGGGAGGCTGCGGGTGTGGGTTTTGGTGATTTGCGTGGCTGCAGGGTTTGAGGCTTTCGGATTTCGGGTGTGTTTAGGGTTTACCTACACCCTCCGGTGTGCTCCTTTATTCCGACTTTCGTGTCCAAAACGCCTTTGTACTCTTGCAGGCGTTTCTGTAGAGCCGCAGGCGCTTCTTTACTTTTCGAAGCTTGAGTATGCATTTCCATCAGTTCGGGCAGGCTTATATGGTTTCCAGATGCCACATTCGGGTCTTGTCAAACAACAGACAAATCTAATGCCTTGCGTCCTTCCTGCATTCAATAACATATCAAACCTGTGCCCAACTCCTTTTCTGCTCATGCGTGGATGCTGACTTCTTCGTCCTCGCAGACTGGCGGCCTGCAGAGGCCGGGGTGGTGTCATGCTGCATCAGTGGAGTCAGGCAGGAGTCTGCATGCGAGGCTTGTTGGATGCTTTATCGGGGCTCTTAAATGCTGCAGCGCCTTGAAGCAGATGCTGCTTGTGAAGTCTCCTGCTCGAAGCGATTGCCCTGGAGCCTGCGCATGCATGGCCAGCTGAGGTCGTATTCAGTGCATACGGTCAGACAAGGGGCCGAGCCTATCTAAAGAGTGCATACGGTCAGACAAGGGGCCGAGCCTATCTAAAGATAGGCTCTGTTAAACAGCATAATTACTTCTTAGAAGATCTTTCGCCTAGCATGCCCAAAGCATGCGGCTTCGAAGCCCCCCTCGCCACGGCCCTCGAAGACAGCCGACATGTACGTGAGCTTTTCAGGCACCGCAAGGGCCTTTTGGTCTGGAAATCTGAGGACACCCAAGGATTGCCATCCTTGAAGGTTTTAGGACTGAACCAAAAGGTCATGTGCATTTTTGCAAATGTCTATTGCAGCAAATGCACGACAGCGAAAGCGCCACCGATAGCGTGGATCAGGAAGGAGGCCGGGTGTGTGCACGTTTCCAAAACATGTGCTTCGTGCATATATCTAGATATGTCTACAATACACAATATATATATATGTACACATGTGCATATGTATATATATATATACAGGTGTGCCCCTCTCTATACACAGAATTTCCAATAAATACTTATACAGAAACATGTATTGTGTATGGCAGCATAGCATGCCAATTAACATGTCTGTATTCTGTATATTGCCATCTCTATATTCGTATGCCATATGCAGGTGTGTTTGTCTCTATAGGGATGTACATATATGTATACGTGTATATAATATATGTATACATGAACATGAACAGCCTACACGACCACGTACACACTTCTAGGTAGGCATCTGCACGTACTTCTCTGTATACATGTATATACCGAATTTAAATCCCCAGACCCCACAACCCCCATGCAATGCCAGGTCAAGAAGTTCTGTGCCCTGATGGGTGTGGAGCAAAGCCCACAGCAGCTGCACATGGATGCGTGGGGCCTCAAAAAGCTGTTCTCCACTGCCATTAGGAGGTGGGGAGTACAGCTGGGCAACCGGAAGGACAGATATGTACATGTGCGCATATATATATATATATATATTTTTATGTCTCTTGTGGAGGCACCCATTCATGTACAATTTTTGTGCACATAGATCGAAGGATAAAGTTGCTAGCAACATGCTAGGCATGTGCATGCATGGGGGCAAAGTAATAGGAAGGTTGCTTTCAGTGTCCAGGATGTATCACCCCCCAAACACATTTTGATATACGTCTCATGTTAAATCAACCTCGCATATACTTGTGTGCATTATCGCTTGTGTTTCGCGCTGATCTGCATGTATCCCAGTGTGTGCACATCGAGTTTAGTTCCACAGATTTTCCAGCGCAGGATCCGGGCGTGGATGAGTTTTACGGTGTGGTGGTGATGCACTGGCGAGGGATTTTGCCGGACATCTCCAAAAACCCGCGGCTGAAAGTCATTAAGATTGACTTGACGACTGGGAATGACACAAGCGGCAAGGTCAAGCTCGATCTTGATGATGTCATCAAGGTCGATCTCGAAGACGAGGATGACTCGGCCCTCGAACAGGCCGAGTACAGCAAGCTCGAGTCAGCCGAGATGACGTTGGAGGAAGTCCAGCAAAGGATTGATTACTTGAAGTGCCCTTCCCTGCACATATGCGTGGTGCATGTGCATCGGGGTATTTCAGGAAAGTTTAGAATGAGGTAGTTCGTGAATTCAGGGGGTGGGAGAGCCTTACACAACATGTTCAGTCTTTGACTGCCCTAGCTGCTGGTGTGGATCGCTTCGGTGTTCAGCTGAGATTGATTGCAGGATTTATACAGCTATGTCTACATTATATACATGGTTGTCCAATTTAACACATCGTGGTCAATAGCAGACGTGAGAATATTGACAAGGCGACTTCCGGATATGTATATGAGCATACATACATGTATGTGTATGTTCACATATATATATATATATATGTATGCACACATGTATGTCTATAGGTGCTACTATTACGATGACTACTATCAGTACTACTGCTACGAGTTCTATTTCTACTATTACTATTACTACTACTAGTACTACTACTTCTACTACTACTACTACTACTACTACTACTACTGCTACTACTAAGTACTACTACTGCTACTACTACTACTACTACTACTACTACTAGTACAACTGCTATTCTCATTACTAGTACTACCATATACTACTACTACT